CCTTCAATTACGTGTTACATTTAATTTTTCTAGTTGATATCAATTTTACTGCAACACCTCCAAATGGGCGAGTGCCTTCTTACTGGGAGCACACTGGTAGGAAACCAGCTGTGGGTGCCCCACTCTCTGCCCAGGCCACCAATATACGAACAGCATAGTGAAAATTCTCCTTGTGAAAGCCAAACAAGCAATAAAAGTGCTTTTCTGGCCCGATAGGATCTAAATCTAAAAGTGAAAAAAATTCTGAATTAAACTTATCCCATAGTTTAGCCCTTTTCAAAACCAAAAAATAATGGGAATGTCTCCAACAGTGTTTCATTTGCCATTTCTGTTGCTGCTGCTTTCTCATTTGTTTGAGTTCCCTCCTCCTTCACTGGAAATGATCACTGTTGTTTTGACTTTTCCCCTTAAAGCCTCATGTATCTTCCAGTTTTAGCAGATGCTGGCGTCAAAGTGAAAATAAAAAGACATAGTAGCTGTTGCAGAAATGTTTGCATACAATAGCCCGTGCTTTCCTCCTTTGGTTAAGGTGTATAGTGATTTTTTTAACCTTTGGCTGACCTTGTATTTATCTAAATATACACTATCCTCACTATTAATATTCATACGTTGCCAAATCCTTTAATCCTGGCTCCAGCTCTGGCAGTGCCTCGCTACATCCGTTGAGATTAACTCTTGGACTAAACCCATTTATTTACACAAAAGCATGGAAACCTTGCCACGGGAGGAAAAGCAGCCTCTTTTAAGCGGGTGGGAATGAGGCAGAAGTTATAGGTTATGACCCTGAAGATGGTCTCTTGGGGATCTTACAAGAAAAGTCAGAATAAATAAGTCAGAAAATGCAAACTGTCAGCGCTGTTGCCGGGAAGTTAACATCAACGAGCTCGTCAGCCCAAGTGAAAATTCTCTTTCTCTTAAAAGTCTGTTTCAATTATTGGCTGTGACACTGTCAGCGCTGTTGCCGGGAAGTTAACATCAACGAGCTCGTCAGCCCAAGTGAAAATTCTCTTTCTCTTAAAAGTCTGTTTCAATTATTGGTTGTGGCAAAAAGGCTACCTCGAGAAGAGGTACAGGGCTTTATTTGGGGAAGGTTCCCTGTGAACCTGGCAAAAAAGCTACCTCGAGAAGAGGTACAGGGCTTTATTTGGGGAAGGTTCCCAGATATCTAGAAGCAGTGACATAACCATCTTGAGCCTCCTTTCTCTTCTTCTTGTGTGTATCATCCAGAAGGAGCAGCCACACCGCGGTACCGAAGGGCAGTGATTTGATTGCAGGCTGGGATTTGGGGTAGGATTTAGATCCCACCCTTTTTCATTACAATTAATGGAAGTTTAGTGTCTGAGGACTTAGGGTTTCTTTCTGCATCCCAGGCATAGACATTGCATCCTCATCCTCAAAGCATTGAGGATGAGGATGACCCAAACTCGGTCACTTTGGGGACGTTGTGGGATGTGGTTGTGGGATGGGGCTGAGGATTTGGCTGGGTGTGGGTGCTCTCCTGCATCTCTTGCACAGGGAATGTCCAAGAGAGATTTGTAGCTATAGGAAAGTGTTTAAAAAAAATGTATAATGTGTGTTGTTTAAATACCAGGACTTTTGGTTTAGGTACCAATCAGCCTGTTTCTTGCTGTCCCCTGGCAAAGCAGCTGCCTGATGAAGCCACGCTGGGGCTCGTGCTGGTTTTCTGCTCCTAATTGGCCTCTTTCTCTCTATAAACTGCACAAAAATCCCCCCTACATTATAGAACTCCGGGATATCATCTCCATGCTAAATTGGCACTCCCAGCTGAGTGAAACCATACATTGTCTTGGGTTTTGGAGGGGTTCTTCAGCTCCGTGAGTCACTTGAGCTGGGGCTGGTCTCGATTACAGGGAGCCAAAGATGAGAGAAGCCAGATCTCCTCATCCCTGGGGCTGCTCTTGCTGCTCCCGTGCTGTCCAACAAGCCTATTCCCAGTCTTTAATGTTAAGGATGATGGATTACAGTTTGCTGGATTTTGGGGGTGTGGGGAGGAGCAGTTATCTGGGGTTATTATGGATGAACCATTGCTTCCCTTAGGGAATTTGGAAGAGTTTCAAAGCCTGGAGTGTTGACCTGGACACACCATGCATGGTGCTGCTGGGAGGTTCATGGGTGAAAATCAACTTGGAGGAGGAGAGAGTTTTAATTTTGTGGTTTTTTTTTTTTTCCTTTTTCCTTGGAGACAAAAGGGGATTGTGCAAGACGAATAAATAGAGAGGGGGTTGTTTGAATAAATCACCTCCTGGCTCCAGCGAATTCCAGGGATGTGCTGACAGGTCCTGGCCCCCTTCTTCTGGTGGGATGAGCTTGGGGTCCATCCCCCTGGCTCTTTGCCACCCGTTGGGGCAGCACTTGACCAACCCTTGGCTGCCTGAAGTGACTTGATGCCTTCAGCTGTCCCAATCGCATGCCTGACATCGGATGGGAAATCCTGCTCCTGGAAATGCTCCCGAGGGTGGTGGGGCTTGAATGACATCTCCCAACACAGAAGCCCCGTTGGGTGAGGAGGGGGAAAACAGTCTGGAAATCCAGACTAAGGATAAAAGTTGCCCAAAGCTCTGCTCTGGGTTGAATTTCCCCCGGGATGGGAGTGAGAAGGAAGATGCTGGAAAGCGGGGAGAAGGCTGGGATTCTGGGGAGTGTAAAACTCCTTTCTGGTCCCCTCTTAAATCCTTAAATAGTGGAAGGGAAATAATTTCACTTCTTCCTGGACACTGAGACCTTTGAGTGGCCTGTGAATTTCTGCAGGCACATCTTATTTAAACAAAATGTTAAGATCCTCCCCATCCTCTAATCATTAACCCTTAGAGTGGTTTAGACATTCCCTCCAGCATTTCGGAGTTAGAGGGGTCTTAGAATGGGTTGGGTTGGAAGGGACCTTCAAGATCATCAAATTCCACCTCCCACCAGCCCAGGTTGCTCCAAGCCCCCTCCAACCTGCCCTTGAACCCCTCCAGGGATGGGGCAACACAGCTTCTTGGGGCAACCTGGGCCAGGCTCTCCTCATCCTCCCACCAAAGAAGTTCTTCTCAGGATGGAGATGGCAGAGTGTTAAAGATCAGTGCAGAAACGTTGCAAATTAGCAGTGGAAATTAATCAGTGGCAGGACCTTGCTGCACTCGAGGTGTCCCCATTGTCACTGATGCTGGTGGCAGAGAAGCAGATTCATTCTGTCCCAATTTTGGGCATAGCTGCTGTGCAGGAGCCCCGGGGTGGGTCATTGGATCTGAAGCATCTTCAAATATTTGTTAAAGAGGGTCTTTCCTCTGGGCTTTGTGTCTGGAATATCCTTTCTGTCCCAACTTGCTCAGCAGATAAATCATGATGGTGAAGAGCTCCCTTTGTCAGCTCTTCTCTGGAATCTCCTTTTCCCTGGAATCTCAGGGAAACTGAGGCACAGCAGTGCCAATGGCAGATACAAGAGCAGACACCAGGCGTTCTGCCTCTTATTAGAGATTTTTGGCTACATCGCGCTGTTTCTTCTAAAAATACTTGGTGTTTAGTCAAATTACTGGGTTCTTACTTCGCCTTTTACTCTCATTTTACTCTATGTATATTTTATGAAACCTGTCCTCAGTTCTAAGATTGACTTTGATTCAATTTAACTAAAACCACATAGAACTTTTTTAACAAGCTCTTTGAACACGCTTCCTGTGAGTCCTTCAGGCGTATCGCTAATTACCCACGCTCATCATCAGCTCAAGCAGCAGGGCTGGGACACGGGAGAGAGATTTGTGTGTTCCAATCATAGAATCACAGAATCATAGAATTGCCCAGGCCGGAAGGGACCTCCAAAGGCCATCTAGTCCCACCCCCCCGCAGTCAGCAGGGACACCCCCAACTAGACCAGGTTGCCCAGGGCCTCGTCGAGCCTCTCCTTGAATATCTCCAGGGAAGGGGCCTCAACCACCTCCCTGGGCAACCTGT